TCTCTTCCAGCAACATTACTTAAGAAATCATGAAGTTCAAATGAAATCAGTGTCTTTACACATTACAAAAGATTACTTAAAGACCTTTAATTGTATCTTTATACATTACAAAACATTGAATGGACTGAAAAATACTACTTCTATAGTTCTCCTCTAGTTTCTCTTGTACATGGAAAAAGATGTGCATGATTCACCAGTTATAAGTAAAGTTAAAAATGTCAGTCATGAGTTACCTGAATATAAAATTGAAGATTTCTGAATAAAAATAAAATGTAACTATAAAAGTAACTAAACAACAATGCTCCAATTACCATAACAATATTAAGAAAAAGAACCAATTTTTCCATGAGCAGAAATCTGGAAACCATAGTTTAGAATCCAAGAATTTGCAAGTACAAACCATAAAAAAACATAGCAAGCAAAAACTTAAATGATTGGTCCACTGCCAATCAAAATGAAACATAAATTTTTTTGGTCATTTGGTCCATTGCCCATCAAAAAGGGTGTTGCTGCTTGCAAATCTTCCTAGTGCATTACAAAAAGAAGTTGAATCTTGTCTTCACTTGCTTATGGTTCGAGGTTCAGCAAATGAAACAGAACCTCTCACAATTCTCCTGTTTCTAGCTATTGCTTCTCTCCTTTTTGAGTTCTCTTCAGCATCAAATTCTTGCAAGTCTTTTATCAACTCATCAACAAAAATGCTCTCAACCTGAACATGACTAATCTCAGGTGATGCCACTCCTTTTCCATCATCTCTTGAAATTGCAGGTGCATCACAAGCTGGCCCTACCTTATTAAAGATTGCAGATTGGCTTGAAACAATCTCGGGAGTAGGCATGAACATGAATTGTGATATTGAAGGTTGTTCCTGGTTGGTTGGCATGGTATTCCTCCTTCTTTGAGGTACAAGTTTGTTCTATGACAGGAACAACAATGAAGATACAATAAAAATAAACTTAGCAATTTTCTGTAATGAGACTATAAAAATTAAACTGAATCTTCAATACATTACCAGCATTTCACTAACAGTCTTATATGTAATGGGACTTATCATATCATTCTCATACCAATCCTATCAGAAAAAGGCAATCATAGTAACATATTATGAACGATGTACAAGTAAATCTTAACATACTCCAAGGAAAAGTTTAGTGACTTACCTCAACAGGTGCATCATCTCTTTCATGATACCTCTTATTGTGACCAGTCAATCCACATACACTACAAGTCATTTCTACCCCATCTTTCCTTTTCATCTTCGATGTACCACCAATATGAGAAATTACATCTTCTTCAGCTTGTCTTCTTCTTTTCGTTTGCTTTCTTCCTCTCTTCGATATATACGAGCCAGGAGGTTTGATTGGGAGTTCATCAACATCAGGCCATAGGTTCTTTCCATTTATCGGATTGACAATGTTCTCATAACAGTTCAAATATGTTCTCACCTTATAGCAATCATGAACATCTACATCCATTTGAGGGTTATTGTAACGGTCTTTAATGGCAGCCACTGCATGTGCACATGGGATGCCTGATAGTTGCCACCTCCTACATGCACAAGTATGATTGGGCAAATCAACAACATACTCTCCTGATGGACATACCACATATGACTGAGGACCTCCCAGACCATTCTACTTCGCACTCATTTACCATGTCAATGATCTTGTTTAACTTCTTTTGAATTCTTGGACATAATGGTCCTTCAACCCT